CCTTCATTCTTTGCAAGGGTATTAACAAAGATTATTGCTTAATTCTTCTGTGGATCTCTGACAGAGTTTTATCTTCACAAATATTAACACAGAACTTGTGAAAAACTGAAATAATTGCATTTCTGATGCACTTAAGTCTCTAACAGCTTATGTACCTCAGAAATTAACAGCTCAACAGTTTGAGACAAGCAATTATTCCTGATAGATTTATGTAGCTCCAAAAAGTGTGTTTTTATTCTTATTTTTTCCATTAGTATGTTCAGGGTTAGCTAAAATAAGTGTTCTCAGAAGTAGCAAGATATTGGAAGATGATCTGTCACACAGCTTACTGAAACATTTCCAATAGATGTGAAACTACAAGCTGGCAATTCAGGAAACAGGATTCAGGTTTTGGGTAAGCTGTTGAGGATTTAAGACCACAAGATGCTGTGGTTTCTTGGACATTCTCTCCTTTCTGGTATTTCTAATCTTTCATAAATGGCATTGAGGACCTCCAACTCCTGCTTCAGTTGATACTTCTTTCATTGGTATAGTGTAGCATGCAGGCTGACCCACAAATCAGGTGCACATCTTGGCAACCTATGCAGCTGTCAGTTTAAGGAAGTAAACTTTTACTGTTTTTCTCTAAATGAAAATCTTTCACAACATCTGACTTGCAGAAGAATTTCAGTATATTGAAATATTACTCCAAAACTTTACTATAAAATCTTTAAAAAAACAAACAAACCAACAAAAAGAAAAAAAACCCCTCACAAAACCAATGAAATAAACAGAAAAAATAAACACAAAAACCAACCCAAAACCTGCCACTTGCTTGAAGATCTTCTCAAATGCTTTACTTTTAAGCAATAATACCACGAGTTGAACAATTTTGTTGTGCTCACTTGTGCTTGAAATCTAAATTTAAGAATTTGACAGATAAGCAGAGGTACATAAGATACATCATTATCATAGTCTGTAGCAAGTGTTATGCTTCTTCAGCAGATTAGTCTTAATTTAAAGAAAATTTATATGTATTTGTATTGAAATATTCTTTAAGGTGAAATGTTAACTTAGCCTTTATTCAAATAACTCAAACTCAGCATGACTAGAAAAGTTACACAGAAATCTTTAGTTATTAAATGTGCAATAATTTAATGGAAGCATATCCAGCATTCAGAGAAAGTTGAATTTAAAACACTGAAGAATTATTCAGTGGTGGGTTAGCTGTGTCTAATGTCAACATACTCATTTTACTTAGAAAAATGTAGATGCAAAAAAGGCAAGAAAAAAGAAACCCAACCTAATTAATTTCTAACAGTTAAATTATAAAATAATAGTGGATTGTAAAAGCAAAGGTCTTGCCGTAGGTTTAATATCAAGGTGCAAATGCTGTAAGGATAATCTTGATAGGAACTCTTCTGTCTCTAGCTGTGGAGATTCTGCTTCGTCATTAGTTGGATAGTGTTGTCCTGCTTCCCCACCTTGAAGCTTAGAGTTTGTAGCTGACCATTGATGACAGGATGGCTGTTCTGAGGTGGACCCTCCAGCTTTTTGTTTCTCTTAAATCTTGAAGGCTTTTCCAATTTATATCCTGTATCCAGAAGAAATGTACAGCGTTTAACTAGTACTTGCACTGATGTCTGTAGAATTACTCAAGACAGTAAATTTACAAAATAAAATGAATGTATGAAGCTTTTTTTCTGCCAGTGATCTTTACATTGTATCTTCTGACCAGACTCTTCTGCCATATTCCTATAGTTCAGTGAAAATTCATGACTCCTCAGAGTTAAAAATTAATGTGGACTTCATAGAGTTTAACAAGATACCGAAAAGCTGTGGTCACAATGCATTGCAGTAAAAGCAGTGGGCCTTCTATTAGTAATTCATAGCAAAAGCTGTACTCCTAGTATATTATAATGCTATGCTAGCATTATAGTTCCATGTAATTACATTCTTCCTTGAAGTCTGCTGCTACTGTTGGTCTTCAGTGCACCATAATTAAATAACTCTGGCACAGCACCCCTTGTTTTTGGCAACAAAGCTGAATACAGTCCTTGATGCCTAGTGCAGTGTAGTCTGCACTAGAGCACAGGATTACTGCATTCTGTTTGAATTCGTATAAAGGTAAGCAGACATTATTTTATGTATTTGGGGGCTGTGATATAAATCAAGGAGAGATTACTTATAAGTTTCAGGTTTACCCTGAGAGAGTGACTTCAAATTCCCTTGCGCTGAAACTGAAGTATTTAAATTGGCTTTAGCCTGTGGTGCTTAAGATAATAGTCTGATTATGGCAATGGATATTAACCTAGCTGGAGAGATAACAAAAGCAAGAAAGAAGGCTGTATGTTTTGAAAAGCCAACCTATGAAAAAAAACAACACCTGACTAAACCTCCAAAAGTGGCATTATAGCTTACCAAAATTTTTTTCCATAAACAAAAAAATGTTTAGAATTTAGACTTACTTGTGTGTGATAAATTATGTTAAGAAAATACCTAACTCAGGTTTGTTTTTTTTTCTACTGAGTAGGATGTCCCTCATTTTGATGTGGAATGGGGTTGTGAGGCATTGCTGTGAGGAGCAGCAGCCAAGGAAGGACTATTAGGACACAGTATGCTTCTTTAATGAAAAGCTGAACGATATCTCATTGCTGATCCTAGTGAACAGTCAGTTACTCTTCCCATAAACCTGTGGTTGGTAAGCAGGTAACTGGCCGTATACGAGAAGTCGAAGCAACTCTGTGGAGGCCCTCAGACTGTAGAACTCAGCAGCCAATGTTCTGACCATATGCCTCAAACCAAAAAGATGCACTGAAGTTATGGCGAAGCAGGCCTTCATTAGGTAGGCTTGAAACAGCTTCCTTTCCTTTTCCTGCATTCAACATGCAGAGGGACCTCATAGGTCTCTGTACCTTAAATGTAGCAATTGGAGCAAGGCAACTCCTTAAAAAGAGACAGTTTACAACTACTGGAGTGAGGCAGATTGAATAAGAGATGTGGCCTTGCCCATGGGAGAAGAGGAAGTGGGTCTCTTCTGCAAGTCTGCTTTCCAGTCTAGCAACTTTTGTTGTCTGCATATACCCAGGGACTGCATTTATGAAGGGCCCCGTGCTCCTTCACAGAGTCCTGCAGGCTGTGGATTCTTATTCACCATTTCCTCCTTCTCTGCCTGGGCTTTCATTCCCTTTGCTTTTTATTTCCTAGAAGATAACTGAACTTGCTCTCGGTCTCTCTTGGGAAGAAGCAGTTTTTGTCTTTGTTCCTGAGGGCTTTTCCAGCCCAGAAAGTGCAGAGTTGAGTTAGTCAGAGAGTCTTTCCTGCTGTCCTGCCAATCTTCCTGAAGACTTACTATATACAGTGACTTGTGAACAAATAAGTGTCTATCTTCTATTATAGGTGAATTGGTATCTAACTTAATTGGAGGAATGAACTCTGAAATAATTACTAAGGTTCAGTGGAAACAACAATGTAATGTCTTGTTTCCTTTGTCTAATTCTCACAGAATGTGTGTACTTGTAATTCAAGATGTGCAAATGCAAATAAATAAAATAGATCCAAATGTTTGCTGGAAGAACAATAATAGAATTACTGACACTAATAGAACTTAATGATCCATTGGTTGATGATACCTAAATGAGCAAGAAAAAAGGGCACCTCTAATCCTGCCTGTGGGTTCTCCCAAGGTTGGTGTTAGGGTTATGGAACTAATCCATCAATGCATGTTACCTATGCAAAGAAGATGAAAACTCTGCTGTTCAGATGATTATAATGGGACTGTCTTAAAATGTATCACCTTGATTGTGCTGGTTGCGTTGTACTCGAGTCTTTCAAATTGCAAATCTTGGTGATTATGCGCCTAGCAGTACTTGAACACTTTCTGATTTGCTTGAACATAATTTACAGCTCTTGTATTATGCCTTTGTTCACAAATTTTGCAGATGGTTTTACTGGTTAACATCACAAAAGACATTTGCTGTCTTTTGAAATGAAAGCAGAATACTGACTGTTCCTTACATGTAAAACATGGTGAGTTTTTATTTTAATTTACCTAGACTCTAGTTATGGTGGGGAGCTCCCCCATTTGTGAAACAATGCAAAATACAAAAAAGTGTGTACAGTCAGGTCTGATCTTCCATCTGAACTATTTGGGTGAGAGTCTTAACATTTTATACATTCAAGTATTTGTAGTTAAAGTTTTATAGGTATCTCTGGTAACTAATTCAGCTTAAGCTGTTAGTCATGTCAGTCTTCTGTTTCATGTAGGCTGAATAATCACTGTTCCAACTAGGTCTGAAGCAAAGTGTTATTTTACTGGATCCTTTTAATTGGCTTTCTGACAGTTTAGGATTTTTATTTTTTATATTCAGATAAAAATCTGTTTAAAAAGTGGAAGTTCAAGGTAACCTCAGCTGCAGCTTTGCCAGGTGGCTAGTGAGCATCTTGTAGGCTAGTCTTGGGAGGGATGATGAGCTTTGCTGGTGTTTCCCAGTGCTGCTGAAATGTTTAAATAGTTAGTAGATTTGAAGAGATTGTGACACGAAATATCAACCAACTGTTGCCATTCTGTTCTTTTCCTGTTGTTGTTGTTTTTGTGTGGGATTGGATTTTTTTCACTCCTTATCTTCCATTATGTGTGTGTGGCATGCACTTTTAAAAAGCTCACTCGAGTAGACAAGTTGTATTGGTAAAAGCTAGTATTTTGGGGTCTTATTTCTAACTTAACACCAAGTCTTTGGTATTTGACTTATAGGATGAGAGTATTTTATAGGAGAGAGGATAATACTATATGAAATTAGGAAGAATGTAATAGAAAAAGGATTAAGATCTAGGTAAGTAAGAGTGTAATGTTTTTGGGAGTGAGAGGGAAGTGATGGTGGGTAATGAAATAAATTATTTTACAACTTTTTATTTTCAAAATGATTTTTTTTTAGTATTTTTTTAAAATCTGGCACTGGGAAGTCTAAAATTTGATCTGTTGCCATGGACATCTGTTTTTTCCCTTTCTTCTAACAGGTCGTGACAATGCATGTGAGAAGACTTCATATATGTTTCTGCGGAAGGAACTTCCTGTGCGACTAGCTAACACCATGAGAGAAGTCAATTTATTGCCTGATAACTTACTTAACAGGCCTTCAGTTGGGCTAGTACAGAGTTGGTAAGTTAAAAAAAAGTTGTGTTAGTGTAAAACTAACATGTTGCTTTATTTGTAGCTCTACTTGAATTGTCTTCAACTGAAGTCTGTTTTCTGCCTTGAATTGTTTATAATGTGACTTCATTGTAAAATGAAGTTTCATTTTTCTCTGTGTGATGTTAAGTAAATACTCTAATATGGATTTTGGAGATAAGAATTTGTAAGTTAGTCTCCTAAATTAGTAAAAGCATACTGTGGTCTCCCAGATAATTAGAATCAGTTAGTAACTTCCAAGAGAAAGCTTTTTAAATATTTCTTACTGTATTGCATCCATGGCTTCTTGAAATAGCTGTTCTTTCTTCTTATTCTTACTTTGTCAAAAATACTGGAAGAAATTTTATACCTTGTCCTTTTCACTGCTAATCTTTAAAAACATAACCTGGTATTCAATGGAAGTTACTGAACAGGACAAAAATCTGCTGTCATCCAGTAACATTCTCCTTTGTAGTGACTAGTGTATATCCAAAGTGATTGAAAGTCATGTCATTTTTTCCACAGTAATTAATATCTAGCCAACTTGCATGTTCAGTGAGGTTTAGAGACTACTGCCTTGTATGTATTAAGCTCTAAAAAATTCATAGGATATTCATTGTCTCTCTTCCTACAAATACTTGATCCAAAGAATTTATGTAAAAATATCTTTGCAATATGCAACAACTTTCACTTTGTGAATAATAGCTTATCTAACTGTAACAGCAAGTAATGCTATAGGCTTCTGTTAAGTGCAGTCATGGCCCTTGAGCCTAGAAATTCCACACTCGAACGTTAACTGCTGGATTTGGTCTTGTATTTATCCATCTTCAGACTTAGAAAATATAAATTAGGGTATATGATATTACATACTTTGGTTTAAGTATGTTTACCTATAGAAGGTAATACTACCTATCTTGATGACCACTTCAAACACAGTGATTAAGTGCTTCAAATTAATGTAAATGCTGTAGAGCTACACAGTAAAAATTACTTTGTGGTTAGGTGTCAGCTTGCAAGGTTTGAAGGTTTGTATCATATGGCAGATGTTACTGGAAGCTTTTATGCCAAATAGGAGAGTGGATAATCTGCAGACCTTTTAGGCGTTTCTAATCTGGATGATTTGTGAAGCTGTCTTTAGTGAAATGTGGACAGAAAGGTGAATGAAGAAACAGAAATAATTTTTACAGAATAATTCTTCTAGTCTAAATATATGTTCTGTGACACATACCTCTGCCCTGTTAATACAGTCGAGCAACATTTGGATCAGTTCCAGCAAAGGAACTGAATGGATGTGTAGAGTGGATACCCCCTTCAGAATTTTTACTTAGAGCTTTGAGGACTTGTGGGAGCACTTATGGCTACAATAGATACTACTGCTTTAAGAAAACATATCTGTCTCAAGAATATATAATGACTGTAAGATCCTTGTGCAAATCGTGTGTTTTATATGATAATGTGATTTGCACTATCACAGCTGTAGACTGGTAGTTTTCTGTTAACTGGGCCAAAATATCAGACTTGAACATGATGAATAAGTCCAAGTGGACATCCAACTCGGAGATGGAAGTGTGAAATCATAATATTTGTCATAGTGTTCTTCTAATTTTGATCCTCAGGTAACTAACTGTTTTTGTGGAACAGAATATCTACACTGAGATTATGCAAGAATATTTTTGTCATCTTGCATCAGAAGTAACGAGTAACTGTAGCATGTTGTTTTCCTGTTTATAGATGTGGAATTTAAAGAGCTTATATCTTATTTTTCTCTTTAGAGGTTTTTAATTTTTTTTTTGTTTGTTTTTTTTTAAATTTTTAGCTGTAGATTCTAAATTCTTGTGATATAATGGTGATGAACCTTGGGTAAAATCAACTCTGTCAATTAGCTTCTAAAAAGACTTAAAGCAGTTTTAGTAACTTCAGTGTGAATGACCTTGAGTATTAAGCAGCTGTGGTCACAGCAGGTTTTAAAACATATTTGTAATTTCCTAACACGAAGTTTAGACATATCTAGAGAGAGATGTCTGAATTTTATGCAGCAAAATAAATACAAATACAGCTGTTAAGCTTTTTGGTGAACTAGTAAAATGAAGAAACCTCTTGTTGATGCACTTGTTTGATACTTAAATAAAGATTTTTTTTTTCAGATCAGATTTCATGATCCTTTATTTTTACTATGTCATAGGTTGAGGAAGCTTGACAATTTATTAATATGCAAACAAAAAACCCTAATGTACATTTGCCACAAATGAGCAAAGCTATAATTTAGTGCATTATTCACCTTAATCTGTTTCTTCGCTAATTTTCAGTCATTTATATAGCCACAATCATATTGATGATTTATTTACACTACCACTTTTTACCAGAAGCTTGTGTTTTTGTGGTTCTGGTGACACTCCAAATTAGCTGGACCTTAAAAATTTGATTTCCCACTCAGTTCCTTAATGTTGGGATGCCAAAACATACAGACATCTCATCTTCAAAGTAGGTTTTATTGAACTTTTAGAGTAAGGTGGCTCTGTAAATAGATGGAACTTGTTTTTGGAGGAATAAGAAAATTAATTAACCCTGCCTACTGTACAGCACAGATCCTTTCCCATCAATCCTCTGCCCAATCAGGCAGTAACATTCTGGCCTTCATGAATGTCCTAGTTCCTTATAGATCGCTTGGGGAGCAACTTCGTCTTGTCACTTTTGCGAATATGTTCCCTGCTGCAGGCAAGTCCTGTTCCTTCTTGGTTCTCTAATCCATCTTCATGATCGTGCTGTAGGCACTTTACTTCCTGTACTGCACTCCTTGACTGCCCTGTGCTGCCTAACAAATCATACAACTAATAGCTTGATTACTCTTGGGAAATATGCTTTTTTTTTTTTCCTCCTTTTTTTTATGGATTCCTTAGCCTGATGTGTGCAGCAATGAGGATAGGCAAGGTAGCTGGGCTTCCTTTGTACTACATAGGTACTTTATTACTGAATAAAGCTGACATTGCTCACAGAGTGAACAAAAAAAAAAGACTTGGCATTTTAGCTTGTCCACGGGTAACTGTCCCTGTTCAAGTTTGTAACTTAGTTTATGTATGGAGTAGCAAGAGAAGGAATAAAGTGAAGCAAAATAGTAACATAGTTAATACAGTCTGGCTTGAAGTGCAATAATTCCAAATAATGGACAGATAAACAACCAGCCTGGTAGGGATCAGCAACTTATTCTCTGTTTTTCAAAGTTAATGGGCAGCTTCCTAGTTCCAAAGAGGTCGGCCTTTTTAGGCCAGCTTTGAGAGGATGCTCTCTAGCTAAAGTGCACTTCAGGTAGATTAGTGAACATGTGGCAGAATTGCATAATAAAGGATATAATCACTAATGTGATGTGCTGAGGAGTTACAATAAAACCTTAAAGTGAATGTGGTCAGAGCATGTAAAATATCTGAAGTGAGTGTGAGGCTTGCACAATATGTTACTCAGTCATATTTAAAATTCTCATTTTAATTAACCCTAACCAAATTTCCATACCTTTCTTTAATACTTTTCCCTGGAGAAAGCTATAAATCTCAATCTATCTCCTTGGAAAGACCCATTAGAGTAGTTTGGAGATTAATAATGATTAGTTTTCCACTATTTTACGGCTTTGGTGGTAGAGATATTCTAAAGGAAAAATTTAGTGAAATACACATAGAGAAAAAACAAAAGTATATTGAACTTCCAGTTAAAAAAAGAAATATACAAAACCTGGAGTTGATATTATGTGCATTTACAGTCATTTCATCATTTCATGTATGAAATGTGCCATTCTAGAATTATTATATTTGGCAGACTAACAAGAATTCAGTCTACTCAGCAGTAATTAACAAGAGACCAAAGTGAAGAGTGCTTGTTCTTTTGTTCAAACCAAAAGAAAACTCAAGGAAATAAACTAATTGTATGAAAGGGAGTGACCTTTTTTACACACAGTAGCTATTGCAGGAATGAATGCAGTGCTCACTGTTAGGCAGGTGGTGGTGAAGACAATGTTAATATAGAAATGTAGGACTGTTGTTAGAGGATGTAGGCAGGCCATAAGGAAAGCTAAGGCCTCCTTGGAATTAAACCTTGCAAGTGAGGTCAAAGACAACAGAAAGGGCTTCTTCAAATACATTGCAGATAGAACTAACACTCGAGGCAGTATAGGCCCACTGTTGAAAGAGGTGGGTGCCCTAGTGACAGAGGATATAAAGAAGACAGTGCTGCTGAATGCCTTCTTTGCCTCTGTCTTTATTGCCGGAGACTGCCCTCGGGAGCCCCAGACCCCTGAAGCCCCAGAGGAAGTCAGGATGAAGGAGGAGTTTGCTTTGGTAGATGAGGGTAGGGTTAGGGATCAGTTAAGCAATCTGGACATCCATAAATCGATGGGTCTGGATGGAATACACCTGTGGGTGCTGAAGGAACTGGCAGAGGTCATTACTAGGCCATTCTCCATCATCTTTGGTAAGTTGTGGGCAACAGGAGAGGTGCTTGAGGACTGGAGGATAGCAAATGTCACTCCAGTCTACAAGAAGGGCAAGAAGGAGGACCCGGGTAACTATAGACCAGTCAGCCACACCTCCATCCCTGGAAAGGTGATGGAACAGCTTGTTCTTGGCACTGTCTCTAGGCATATCAAGGATAAGGGGTTCATTAAGAGCAGTCAACATGGTTTTACCAAGGCTAAGTCATGTTTGACCAACCTTATAGCCTTCTATGAGGAATTAACTAGGTGGACAGATGATGGTAGGGCAGTAGATGTGGTTTATCTTGATTTCAGTAAAACATTTGACACTGTCTCCCACTGCATCCTTGTAGATAAGCTGAGGAAGTGTGGTCTTGATGGTCAGGTAGTGAGGTGGATCATCAACTGGTTGAAAGGAAGAATTCAGAGTTGTAGTCAATGGGGCAGAATCTAGTTGGAGGTCTGTGACTAGTGGAGTCCCTCAGGGGTTGGTACTGGGACTGGTACTATTCAATATTTTCGTCAACGACCTGGA